CTAGGTAGCCAGTAGTTATGCATGCATTTAGATTTTACTATATATTTATGAAATTCTAAACATTTAAAATTAGTCGACTTTGCCGCAGATAAATAAAATCAATTTTGAAATCAAACCGAGGAGTTTATTAGCCTTGGTTAAGGTACTAACTACTCCTGGAGGTAGCGGATTGCGATCCGCTACACTCGTTTTGGTTCTTGTAAAGAACGAAAGGTCGCTAAGCTAAATTACGCTTCCTCAAGCGCTAAGCTAAGGCAGCCCCGCTGCAGCTATGGTATCCTAATTACTAAGCCTAGAAGTACCGCAGCAAAGTACCGTGGTGAAGTACCATATCTAACAATATGGAGTGATTTTACGCCGAGCACCTATTGTATTGATAGCTAGTATTCTTTAAGTATCGCTGCTTGAATTCAATGTTTCGTATAAAAGCTCTTTTTTAAATCAAAGATAAAGTATCGATCAAAAAACGCAACTTTCTTAGGTATGTTACACATTTTATTTCTATAGCAAATTTAAAAGTAAAAACACTTTTCGACTTTGTGCAATAAACTCAAAATATTAAAATGAAGAAGAAACACGTACTTAATCTGTTTTAGTCGAAACGTGAACTATTCTCGCTACGTTTTCCTTCTTCGATCATTTCCGGGATTCGAGATCATACTTGGGAGCGTAAAACTTTAGCCATCTCACTATTCGCATTCTCTCTGTACTGGTGAGTCATGTACTTCATCCAACACCTCGCCATAGGATCGTCAAGGGAAAAGCTATCCAATCCGAGGGTGGCCAGCAATTCGTTGCTCAGGCCAGGTTTCCAGCTCACGATAATCGCATTTTCGATAATTTCCGCATAGGCCTTCAAGTCATCACCATGAAGGTCTGGAGAACTACACAACAGTATAATCTGCTTATCACTGAAAAGAGACCGCAACAGCGGCAACACATTCGTGACTTCAGCGCCTATCGTAGTAGCCTCTCGAAGCCAGGTTTCAAAGCGTAATACTTCGCCAGAGGCCGCTTTACCCAGCGTGAGAGTCTTCAATAGTAATTGAAGCTTGTATACAATTAATTTATTGATCACATCTTTCGTGAAATCGTCGGGACTGTTGCGAATCACTTCACCGATTTGTTTGCTTGTGATCCCTTGCTGCTTCAACCTGATGTCTAAGACGCTGAGTGCGTGTTCGTTACCCTTCGAACACAAGAAAGCGTACCAATTCTTCACGCTCGGATGTACAAAAATGTCAAAAAGACCTTTTTTGTTCTTGTTGAGCTGGACAAAAAGGAATTCACCTTCCAAAACTTCACCAATCCACGAAGTCTCTCCTCTCTTCAAATTATTGATGAGACCGACTAGTGATTCTTCAAGATTGTGAGCGAAACCTCCAACATCATTCACGTCTGCACTTACAGCAATGTACTTCATAAGCGCATCTTTGAAGTGATCACCAAAAGCAAATTTGCCATCGACAACACTAGCAGTCGGAATAGAGGCCAGAAGTTTTTCTTGGTCAACTTTCGACAGTGTCTCTAACATTAGACCAGCCCCTAAGTCACGTCGAGAGGGAAATGATTCGGCAACTTGTTTCGACCACTGTTTGAACTCATTGCTGTTAAAAATATCCGTCTCAACTTTGTCAAGTCCGACATCCTTGAGGAGTTTGACAACTTTTGCCTCGTCATCGTCTTTGGGCGGAGCAAACGGAGAAATCGGCCAACCTAATACCTCTTGATGAGAAGATAGCATTGATTGTAGTATATCACGGACGTCACGTTCTACAAGCTCACCAATGGATTTTGAGCTATCGTCTGCCTTCAGTCTCGTAATGAGACTTACCAGTGATTCTTCAAGACGATCAGCCACCGGCATGGACTTCGCATTATTCTTAGCGTTGGCGATATATCTAATCAACGCGAGTTTAAAATGATCACCAAAAGCTAGTTTGTCGTTGACAACCTTGGTATTCGGAATGGCCTCAACCAATTTTTTCTCATGGTGTTTTACCAATGTCAACACCATAATACTAGCGCCCTGATCAGGATTATCAGGGAAGGCGTCTGTAAAGTACTTCGACCACTTTTGGAACTGAGGGCTGCTGAAGAGATCCGTCGCCACGTCAGCACGCACTTTTAAAAAGAGTTTGTTGCCTGCTGCCACTTTGTCAGAGGAATGCCTCAGGTAAATATGTGGCCTGAAGAACCTCATGATCCAAGACGATGCGAGCTTCTTCCATAAATACGATGGCTTGAAATGAGACACAAAGCGTGAAAGTATTCCAGCCTCTTCTTCAACCGTAACAGATGCACCTCTTTCTTCCGAAGACGTTGACATTTGATCAGAAGTCGACGTTAAGGCTCGATCGTGTCGCTGGGCAATCATCTGCTCATTACTCATCATCATGGCTTCCAATTGAGCTACCTCACTGTAGATCAATGCAGTAACGCATGAGAGCGATAGGAAGCATAGTCGAAGTGAAATGCTGCGTGCCGCGATCATCGGTGGTTAATAGCTTTGAGCTTTTTCAAGAAAATCAAGAAATGAATGAATGGAAGTGCAAGATCACGTATCTGCAGCGCCTATAGATTCTAAGACTCGTAACTCGCACAAATACAGTAGAATCAATGGATTCTGCAAAGCACAGCGTCAGAAAGTGAATGTTCTGGCTAAAAATACAACAAACAGTATGAGGCTTTCGCAATCAGCTGCGTATTTGACATTCTGATTCGGTCGTGTGTAGAACATATGCAGTCTCTCCCTCTATTTCTGCAGTATGAAAGTATTCCAATCTTGCTGGAAATGGATTACTTCTCCGGATTTTCCGGGGAAAGCCTACGTCAGGTTCAATGCTGGGTGTACTGTGTAATCCTTCTATGTAGTAATTTGGGTTTGGTCTGTAGAATCACATCGTGAGACTCAATTGGAGAATAAATAGCAGGAATGGTGCACCTGTTGCATTATCTTTGGTCATGTCGTTCCTTAAGCCGCATTCTACTTAAGACACATTTCTTTCAGAGACAGCAGACTTAAATAGCTCACATCGATAAGGTAATGGCGGATATCTCCAGCAGCCATGAGTTCTAAATGTGGTCAGATAGTTTACAGACGCTTTCTCAGATGATCCGAAGATGGGGCATATCAATCATATGGTGTCGGCACGGGCAAACCCAGCTGATTGACTTTTTTCGACTACATACTCAGTTCTTAAAGCAGCTTTGATGGGATATATCTATAATGCTAAGGAATGTTGCGAATTCAAAGGCGTTTATAGATCGTTTTGAATGCTCACTGCTTGCACTCGCTGAGAATATGAGAAGGAAGTGAGAGCTTAAAAGAGTCTAAAAGCAAGCGAGGGCTAGGAGAATGAATTCCCTATTGGCTACTTCAGCAACGATGACAATCTTGTTGATGTCTGATCAATCAATCGTACAAAAAGTGGTATATTTTCAGAATTTGAAGATGCGAGAAGACTAGTCACCTAGATTTGCACCGCATGTAAGAATCAAATAGATTTATTGAGGAAAATGATGGTGAAGCGTACCCTGGGTCCAGGGCCTGGACCTCGAGATGGCGCGGCTGAGCAGATACAAAAAACCTACTTGCTTTCAGAGTCTGATCCTGTCGCGTCTATTTCACACATGTTGAGACCGACTCTATGTAATGGAAATGTTTTACGAGAAACGCTGTGGACCACAAAGAGCGTGGATGAAATCACTGAAACTGCAATATCCAGATCACGCGAATCTATAAATCTGAGTTCACGCTTCCATTAAACATTGAAAGAAAAGGCAACCATGCTAGTAACCAATCTCTTCCGTAAAGTACTTGGAAAGAATATAATATAAGTCCAATCATTTTCTTTTTCGAGTTTGACGATCGTTGGTGCTAGTAACTTAGTAACTTTGTAGAAGGATTCCGGTGTACTACTACAAATATATTTGTTCTCTCAAACATCACTCTTTTCGTACGTAAGTACTATGTACTATTACTTGCGTACAGGTAGTAATCAGCTACCATTTTTTTGTACCGTAATTGTACCTTATTTTTGTACTGCATGCAGTAGACATCATAATTATATCAACCACTGGTAAGAAGAGATACTATCACGAAAGCACAATAATAAATTTCTATAATAAATTTCTATATTGCAACCGCTCCATTCATTAAACAAGATTAATTTAGGTGGTATATACTAAAAGTAACACCCAGTATATGCAATTTTTATCACAATTAAATACTCATGGTACTACTTCACGGTACATATAGGCTTTGCTCTAAAATATTGCTAGATTTATGTATATTAGAACAGGGTACCCTCGTCAGAAGTAAAGAAGTAGAGAATCATGACAAGGTAATATGACTTGTATTGGTACGGAATTGAACACTATGTCCACCAACCTCACTTCATACGTTACCAAGGGATAGTAAAACTACTGATCAATGTGGCATTTAATTACGATTGACTTGATTCTTAACGTATATCACACTAATAACGGCTTTTTTTGCTGCTGGAAAGGTTCTCTGATCTGTTTATTGAAAGAGCGCTCATTCTGAGCCTATGTGCGCTGGTTTTGACGCCGATACATGGAATCAAAGCTTCATTTGTGCGATATATAAACATAAACTGTTGTATTTATTACCATTCGTCGTCAATTTTACAACCGCATTTATATGTAACGATATAATATGAGATTCGCCACGAGTTGCTCACCTACCAGTCACTCGTGGAACACCACTCGTCTGACAAGTTTCAATTTTTTATTGGTCGTTTAGGAATGACTCGAACAGGCTGTAAAATAACCCGCTTCTACCATGAGGCAACTTGTGCTACGCTCCAGACATTCATGAAGCAATAGCGATAGAATTCCTGTAACGGGGTTACATGAGAGTGACCCGTCACTCTCCCAAGGGAGCTGTGGTGTGG